TGGCCGACCAGTTCCTCTGGAGGGCCAACAACAGGGCATAGAGGCCAAGGACTTCCCCTACTAAGAACATCAGAAGAGCCTTGCTGGGTCAGACCAGTGGGCCACCCAGTCCAGCATCCCGGCTCACACAGTGGCCGACCAGTTCCTCTTGAGGACCAACAACAGGGCAGAGAGGCTGAGGCCTTACCCTGATAAGAACATCAGAATAGGTCTGCTGGATCAGACCAGTGGGCCACCCAGTCCAGCATCCTGTCTCACACAGTGGCTGACCAGTTCCTCTTGAGGGCCAACAACAGGGCAGAGAGGCTGAGGCCTTCCCCTGATAAGAACCTCAGAAGAGCCCTGCTGGGTCAGACCAGTGAGGGTCCATCTAGTCCAGCATCCCGTCTCACACAGTGGCCGACCAGTTCCTCTTGAGGGCCAAAAACAGGGCATAGAAGCCAAGGCCTTCCCCTGCTAAGAACATCAGAAGAACCTTGCTGGGTCAGACCAGTGGTCCACCCAGTCCAGCATCCTGTCTCACACAGTGGCTGACCAGTTCCTCTAGAGGGCCAACAACAGGGCAGAGAGGCCGAGGCCTTCCCCTGATAAGAACATCAGAATAGCTCTGCTGGATCAGACCAGTGGTCCACCCAGTCCAGCATCCTGTCTCACACAGTGGCCGTCCGACCAGTTCCTCTGGAGGGACAACAACAGGGCAAAGAGGCCTGAGGCCTTCCCCTGCTAAGAACATCAGAAGAGCCCTGCTGGATCAGACTGGATCAGACCAGTGGTTCATCTAGTCCAGCATCTCGTCTCACACAGTGGCCAACCAGTTCCTCTTGAGGGCCGACAACAGGACATAGAGGCCGAGGCCTTCCCTTGATGTTTCCTTCTGGCTCTGGGATTCAAAGGGTTAGTGCCTCTGAATGTGGAGGTTCCCCTCAGTCCCCTGGCTACTAGCCATTGATAGACCTATCCTCCATGAATCTACCTAATCCCCTTTTCAACCTGTTCATTCCTGTGGCCATCACAACATCCTCTGGCAGCGAATTCCACATTTTAATCACTCTCTGTGCAGCGTAGTATTCCCACCCCCCACCCCATCTGCCATTAGAGCTTCCTGCCAGTTTTAGGCTACAGCCCTTCCGCTGGCACCCAAGGGCTCACGCCCCTGATCGTGGCCAGGCCTTCCGTATCTTTGAGCAGGAGACAGAAGAATGTAGCCCGACAGGCTCAAGCGCGGGCAAAGGGCCTCGCTCTCTGGGGAGAAAAAAAATAAAGGCATTTCTTTAGGAGCTCTGAACTGTGCTGTGTCTGTTGCAGAGATGCCCGCTGGCCCCGCCGGCATCGCGATGGAGGGCTCTGGCCTCACCCGCGGAGGAGACGCGGAGATGCACGAGGAAGACGGACTCGGCGGTCAGGAGCAAGCAGAGTCCAAGATGGAGGAAGATGGGGACCCGGAGGTGGGAACGTCCAAACGGGACCCAGCTTTGCAAACCATGCGGAGAGTGGAATGACAGGATTAGAATACAGTGCCAAGAGCAGCATAGGACAGACGAGAGCAAGCTTTGAGTCCAGCCGCACCTTAAAGTCCAACAAGATGTCCAGGGTCTGAGCTTTCAGAAGTTAAAGCTCCGTTCGTACCTGACGAAGGGAGTTTTGACTCTTAAAAGCCGATACCGTGAAAATCTTGTTGGTCTCTTAATTAATTAATTTATTTATTTTTCATATTTGTATCCCGCCCTCCCCAATGGGCTCAGGGCAGCTCACAAGGGCAAGGTAAAACCGAGCCATAAGTAAAACATATAGTACATAATAAAAACATCCGACATTATTAAAGCAGTGGTGCTCAATCAATTACTAATATCGTGGATCCAAGATGGATCAGCTCAGTTCCAGGTGGTACGTCCCATGATATTATGCCCAAACGGAGACGACCTATCAGATCTTCTAAAAGATTTCCAGTTCTTCCTCAGGGCCGCGTCAGAGCATCTGTTAGGTACAGTGACGGTGATGGTATAGTGGGGCGGCGGCTCCTACTCAAAGGCCTGGCAGAAGAGCTCCGTCTTACAGGCCCTGCGGAACTGCATAAGGTCCCGCAGGGCCTGGATCTCCCTCAGGAGCTCGTTCCACCAGGTAGGAGCCACCACCAAAAAAGCCCTGGCCCTGGTAGCAGCTAATTTGGCATCCTTGGGGCCCGGGCTTAAGTTGCTACCGGATTGAAATCTGGTTCTTCTACTGTAGGCCAACAGGGTTACTGACCTGAAACTGTAATAAGTATCATCATCATCGCTTTATTACAGTTCGTAACCAGCACAAAACAGTCCAGGTATATCAAAAACTGGATATCAAAATATAACTATAGTAATATGAAATTTAGATACTAATGTAGAAGCAGAATAAAACTGAAGCATTTACAGATAATTAGAACGAAATATCATGCCATCTGTTTCTGTATCAGACCTTTACATACTGTTTATGAATTCTGTAGGCTGCTGCTAAAAATTTTTGCACAGGCCAATGTGATCTCTGGGTTAGAATCTGATAGAAGCATATTGCTTATTGCAGTATTCAAAAAAACCCTGAAAATCTTTCCTGCATAGGCTGAATAAATCTAGCTCATGTTTGATTGTAATACCCACAACTAAGCAGGATAGGTGTGATCGTATCCACTTCAGTACCGCACAGGCAGACATGCTCAGCCATCGGTGTCTTGCAAGTAGATAAATAGGTACCACTTTGGTGGGAAGGTAACAGCGTTCTGTGCGCCTTGGTGTTTAGTCATGCCGGCCACATGACCACGAAAACGTCTTCGGACAGCGCCGGCTCTTCGGCTTTGAAACGGAGATGAGCACCGCAACCCTAGAGTCGGACTCGACTGGCTTTCGAGCAAGGGAACCTTTACCTTTACCTTTTTACTACCACCTCTGAGTGTAATAAGTATCATAAACAGATTCAGGTGGGTAGGCGTGTTGACCTGAAGCAGCAGAACGAATTCTGAGTCCACTTTTAAGACCAACAAAATTTTATTCTGGGTAGAAGATTTCATGTCCGTGCACACAAAAGCTCATACCCAGAATAAAACTTAAAGATGCCACTGGACTCAAACTTTGTTCTGACATAAACAGATAATGCAAATCACGAAACGTGACATAGACTACAATCCTGTTCCCTTTGTAGAACACCTTCCTAAAGCAGTCTTTTATACTATAGCCCTTTGCCCCGTATCAAAACGCCCTCCTGAATAATTCTGCTTCACATATTGACACATTTATTCATTGAAACATTCATATCCTGCTTTCCCTTGTGGTTCAAGGCAACTTGCGAGAGTAGTTAAACATAATTGGCAGTTAGAACCAATGCTCCCTCCCAAGCTGTGGAATCTTGTGAGCAAAACTTCTACTTTCCCCTCCCCTCCCCTCCCCACAACGGACACCCTGTGAGGTAGGTGGGGCTGAGAGAGCTCTTTCCAGAACTGTCCTAGAGAGAACAGCTCTGACAGAACTACGGCTTGCCCAAGGTCATTCAGCAGCTGCAAGTGGAGGAGTGGGGACTCAAACCCAGTTCTCCCAGATTAGGGGCCGCACACTTAACCACTACACCCAACTGGCTCTCTAGCAATGCTCCCTCTACGCTGTGGAGTCTTGTGAGCAAAATGTCTACTTTGTGAGCTCCTGGCATTAAAGTTGCGGGCGAGCCATTTGGCTGCCATGTAAATCAGTCTGCTCTGGAGCCATCCTTCCTGAGCTAAGACAAAAAATGTGTGAGCCGGAGGCTAGAAAACTGTGAACTAACTCACACTAACTCAGTTTAGAGGAAACACTGGTTAGAACCAAAAATAAAATAGCAAACCCCAAATCTCCCCCCACCCCAAAATGCCTGCCAATTCAAACCCCTTCCAAAGGCCAGGCAAACAGGCAGGCCTTGCAGTGCCTCCTGGAGATTTTCAAGGACTCCCCACACCAACCCCTTTCACAGAACCATGAAGGGAAAGGCCCAGGCTCTGGTCAATGCCAGACAGGCCACCCTAGGTGGCGGGGTAGCCAGCAGATGGCTGCCTGATGATCCTAGTTTACTATAAGTTGGAACCAGTGTTCCCTCTAAGCTGAGTTCATGTGAGCCAGCTCACAGTTTTTAGCCTCCGGCTCACACGTTTTTGCCTTAGCTCAGGAAGGGATGGCTCCAGAGCAAGCTAATTTATGCCCGCTCACGACTTTAATGCCAGTCACTCATAAAGTAGAATTTTTGCTCACAAGATTCCACGGCGTAGAGGGAGCATTGGTTGGAGCTTTGTTAGTAATGTACTAACTGAGTTTTGCTGTTTGTTTCATATAAGTTGAAACCTTGTGACTGTTTTGTGATTCACATTATAAAAACAACTCCAGGTTTTAATGCAGATCTACAGTCTTTTATTGGGATAAAGCATATCTTAAGTGCACAGTAATTGACATAAGTTGAGCATCCTTTATTCATCACAGAGTTGGAAGGGACCTCCAGGGTCATCAAAAAACCTCCAGGATCTCCAGCCAAACTGGCCTAGAGAACAATGGCGTCCTGAGCCCAAAGTAGCAATCGGCATTTCCCTTGGCGTGTAAGAAAGGACCACGAGAACTAAGCACTGAGGCAACCCTTCCTGCCCCCCCCCCATGATCTGCCTAAGTTCACAGAATCAGCAGTGCTGTCAAATGGCCATTCACAGTCGTTTCTTTCTTTTAATTTTTTTAAATTTTGAGTTAAGATAGGGATACGGGGGGAAGGGAAACAGGGAAATATAAACATCATACAAATTCTTAACTTATGCATTACAAGGATGATCAGCATCAGAGTAAATATAGAACATAAGTAGAACAAAGTTCGAGTCCAGTGGCACCTTTAAGGCCAACAAAGTTTTATTCAGGGTGTGAGCTTCCATGGGCACGGCACACTTTGTGAGAAAGCTCACACCTTGAATAAAACTTTGTTGGTCTGAAAGGTGTCACTGGACTCTAACTTTGTTCTGTTGCTTCAGACCCATACGGCTGCCCACCTTGATAGAACATAAGTGTTACTTGGTTCTGAGCGGCCCGTCAGAGGTTCGAATGCTTTCTTAGTGTCCGCAGTTCGAGAGCCGTGACTAGTGCTCCCTCTAAGCTGAGTTAGTGTGAGCTAGCTCACAGTTTTTAGCCTCCGGCTCACATATTTTTGTCTTAGCTCAAGAAGGAGGGCTCCAGAGCAAACTAATTGATGGAGTAGCCAAATCACTGGCTCACAACTTTAGTACCAGTAGCTCACAGAGTAGAATTTTTGCTCACAAGACTTCCACAGCTTAGAGGGAACACTGGCCGTGACCGAGAACTGCCGTTTGCTCGTCTCTCTGCCCATTGGCTGCCTTAGCGGCCAATCCGAATGAGCGACGCCTTTCTCCTCTTCTGCCTCCAGTTTGGCCTCATCACCGTGGAGCTGAAAGCCAAGAGCAAGGCCCTCCAGGAAGCTGAGAAAGCGGTGCCCAGAGCGCCGGACCTGAAGGAGATCTCTGCCCTGGACCCGCTACAACAAGGCCAGGGCTTGCGGGCAGCGAGCAAGAGGCGCAAGAAACAGCGGAAGAGGGCAGGTGAGGCTCCCCTTCCACCTCCCCGGATCTCCGGCAAAGGTTTGGTCTCAGTTACCGCCTTGGCCGCACTGATGGGATGATTGAGGGCCTCATCCACAGAGGGAGCAAGCGTTGGGGGGGGGGGTTAAGCTGTTCCTCTGCTGCCCTTCTGTCAGCAAGAAGGGGAACCAGAAATGTTCCGTATCACCATTAGGTTTCTTGAGCTCCGCCCCTTCCTGCCTCCCCCTAGCCCCGCTTCTGCCTGTCAGATACAGGCCAGTGGCTCCCTTCCGCCTTGACCTGGGACGTGGCCCTGCTGTCTTGCCCTCCCCTGGATGTGGGCCGGGCCCGACGCTTCCGTTTCCATGCAGCCTGGGGGAAGGGCTGTCGTTCTGGGCTCCGGGTGAGGAGAGGCCTCCCACAACATCTTCCGGGACACGGCTAGGGCTTTCCCCGCTGCCAGAGGTGCACCCGCTGCTTCAGCTGCAGTGCCACCTGGTGGCCCCGCCCACCACTCACAGCTGATGCTGGCAGCCTCTGCCTGTCCTGGGCCTTTCCTTTGGGGCAAGCTCTTCTCTTGTTGCTGTGGCTGGCACTGCGGTGGGGCCCCTCTTTTGCTGCGGCAGCCACCAGTGTCATTTGTCTCTCTGCGGCCCTGGTGGGTAGGTGGGTTGGACTGGCCACGGGGCCTCTTCGGAGTCCGTGAGCAACGGGATCTGTGGCCATGTGCCAGGCCCACGGTTCCAGCCCCGGACATTGGGACAGAAAGATCACCTTTCCCCTCCTCCATCCCATAAGACTGGCATCTGAGGATGTGCTCAGTGTATCCCCACTTTCTAAGGTCATGTAGCTGGCAGCCTGTGAAGGGCCCTTTCTGTGGTGGCACCAGGGGTCATTTCACAGAAAAAGAGGTGCAGGGGCTCATTAGCATAACTCATTAGCATAACTCGTTTGCATATGCCACACCCCCGGACATCACCGGAAGTGTGTCAGAAGGCAACCCCCCCCGCTCAGGCTCTACTGGACTGTTTTGGATTGCTAGCTATTGGGGGGGGGGGACGTGCAGATCTGCCCTCGCAGAGGAGGGAGAGCTTGTACCTGAAGGCAGGCCGTGGGGGGGGGGCCCTCTGCAGCTTACCGGGCTGCTTCTTGCTCCTCATGGCCCAACTGAGGCTGCTGGGAGCAGGGGGCAGGGCTTGTTGCATGTGCCCACCCCCTAGGCTCCTTACTGCCGGAGCTCCGCTCCTGTGCGCTCCCGCAGGAAATGACCCCTGGGTGGCACCTTGGCTCTGAAACAACCTCCCTGCAGTGATTCATCCTGTGCCGAGCTTTAGGTACTGGGTGAAACTCTTTATTTGCCCAGCTCCTGAGCTGATGTTTGTGTCCTGTTTGAACAGCCCGGGCCTCTTACCCTGTTCTGTTCTGCATCGCGCCAGAGTGCTAAAGCTGCTCAGCCCCCTGACCCATTTTCCCCTTGCCTTCCCGTGCAGAGAAAATCGCCACCAAGCTCTCCGCCTCGCTGACGGCAGCCATGAATTTTAGCTTCGCCAACGACTGACGAGCCAACGGCGCCGGAGAAGAGATGAGCACAGGCGTTTATCTACCTCGGCCGGGTTGTTCCTCCCACGCTCCCGTCCTCTTGTGAGAGGAGGCTCTCTGCATCCTGCGGGATTTGTACACGATCCCCTGACGGCGATGCAAAAGGCCAGCGCCGTTTCCATAAAAGACCTTTTTATTAATAGCGTAAAATTAAGAGACAAATGTATTAAACTTGGCAGTGAACGCTGCAGCAGCCTTAAGTGGTTATTTAGAGGAATGTTCTATTCCGGCAGAGATTAAGTTCTTGGAAGGGCCCCGGGAGGGCAGTTAATGTATCTGTAAAAACCGGAAGGGAAGTGAGTCCTTTCGTTTTAACAATCTCCCCGTTGGCCCAGAAGAGAAAAAGTTAAGGGGGCGAAATGGCACATCTAGATGGGATAAATCACTGCCTGCCTTCTTCAGGTAGTTTTGTATCCATGACAGCAGCTACTCTCATGCGAGGGCGAGGAATACGCACTCCGTATCTCAGCATTCCGGTCTCCAAGACATCAAAAGAGTGTTCCTTTCCAAAACAGGGAAGCGAGAAGTCCCTAGGCCTGGCTACAAAGGAGCCCTGCTCCGACCGTTAGCCAGATTCCCAATTCGCAGAGCCAGAAACTTAGTATTACGAGAGAGTCTCCCCTTGAGTTGGACAGGTGGAGGCCGAGGCGACGATTCTGAAGTCATCAAATTTGGGGCCAAGCGCACGGCCCCTTAAAGGTGGTTTGGAGGACGGGGAGTTGCTGGACACCGTCGACTCCGGAGGTTGTGCTGGACACCCTGCAGCAGACACGACAGATATGGCTTAGAATGTGGAATAAAAGAAGAGATGGGATCTATACCCCGCCCTTCACTACCCGAAGGGGTCTCAGAGCAGCTTACAATCGCCTTTCCCTTCCCCTCCCCACCACAGACACCCTGTGAGGTAAAAGAAGAGATTGGATTTATACCCCGCTCTTCACTACCCAAGGGAGTCTCAGAGCAGCTTACAATCTCCTTTCCCTTCCCCTCCCCACCACAGACACCCTGTGAGGTAAAAGAAGAGATTGGATTTATACCCCGCTCTTCACTACCCAAGGGAGTCTCAGAGCAGCTTACAATCTCCTTTCCCTTCCCCTCCCCACCACAGACACCCTGTGAGGTAAAAGAAGAGATTGGATTTATACCCCGCTCTTCACTACCCAAGGGAGTCTCAGAGCAGCTTACAATCTCCTTTCCCTTCCCCTCCCCACCACAGACACCCTGTGAGGTAAAAGAAGAGATTGGATTTATACCCCGCTCTTCACTACCCAAGGGAGTCTCAGAGCAGCTTACAAACTCCTTTCCCTTCCCCTCCCCATAACAGACACCCTGGGAGGTAGGTGGGGGCCGAGAGAGCTTTAACAGAAGCCGCTCTTTCAAGGACATCTCTTGTCAGAACCAGGGATCGTTTTGTAGAAAGAGAGGTGCAGGAGCTCATTAGCATAACTCATTAGCAGTGTTCCCTCTAAGCTGAGTAAGTGTGAGCTAGCTCAGTTTTTTAGCCTCTGGCTCACACATTTTTGTCTTAGCTCAGGAAGGATGGCTCCAGAGCACACTAATATATGCAGAAGCCAAATTGCTTGCTCACAGCTTTAATGCCAGTAGCTCACAAAGTAGAATTTTTGCTCACAAGACTCCAAAGCTTAGAGGGAACATTGCTCATTAGCATAACTCATTTGCATATGCCACACCCACTGACATCACCGGAAGTGTGTCAGAAGGCAACACCTACCGCTCAGGCTCCACTGGACTGTTTTGGATTGCTTCCTATTGGGGGGGGGGAACGTGCAAATCTGTCCTCGCAGAGGAGGGAGGGCTTGTACCTGAATAAAACTTGGTCTTAAAGGTGCCACTGGACTGTTTTGGACCGGAGGGCCGGGGGGAGCTCTGCAACTTACCTGGCTGCTGCTTGCTCTGACTGAGGGCTGCTGGGAGCAGGGAGTGGGGCTTGTATGTGCCCGCCCCCTGGGCTCTTTACTGCCGGAGCTCCGCTCCTGCAGGAAATGACCCCTGGTCAGAACTATGGCTTGCCCAAGGTCATCCAGCAGCTGCAAGTGGTGGAGTGGGGAATCAAACCTGGTTCTCCCAGATTAGAGTCCGCGGCTCTTAACCACTACACCAAAACAAACAGCTTTCGTAGGGTTGGATTTATACCCCGCCCTTCACTACCCGAAGAAGTCTCAGAGCGGCTTACAAGCTCCTTTCCCTTCCCCTCCCCAACACAGACACCCTGTGAGGTAGGTGGGGCTGAGAGAGCTCTCCCGAGGACTGCCCTTGAGAGCACCGCTCTGAGAACTTGTGACTGACCCAAGGTCATCCAGCAGCTGCAGGTTGAGGAGTGGGGATCAAAGCCGGTTCTACACCAACCTGGATAGTTCTGAGGGATTCTCACTTTGGTCCAGGGCAGAGCTGCCAGCTCTGGGTTGGGAAATACCCAGAGATTCTGGGGGGTGGAGCCTGAGGAGGGCGGGGTTTTGGGGAGGGGAGGGGCTTTTAATGGGGTATGATGCTACAGACTCCACCTTCCACAGCAGCCATTGTCGCCTGGAGATCCACTGTAATCCTAGATCTCCCGCTACCACCTGGAGATTGGCAACCCTAGTCCAAGGTCCTATTGACAAGAACTTGCATTTTGGAAATTCAGAATCCCAATCCAGGTTTTCAACTAGAAGGACTAAGCAGGTTATACCGGGGGAAAGGTCAGATTTGATTCCAAACAAATGGTATAATTGGGGTAAAAACAGCACCGTGCCTGTAAGACTAGGAAGTCTGTTCCCTCTAGGGATTTTTACAACATGCACAACCAGACATAAAATACGCTGTTCCGCGAAAAAGTATGCAGTCGTATGAGAACATTCATACAGTTCAGACATTCGGGTCTCCGTTTGTGCTGTCAAAGTCCCAGAGCTGAGGATTTCCCCCCCACTCTGGGCAGGCTTCTAAGTACCATAGTCACCTGCCCCTCTGGCTTTGGAGACTTCAGCAGATGTTGCCCTTGCGCAATGAAGGCGAGAAGTGTGAAACGAACATGGACATGTCCTGCTTTTTCCTGCCACAAAATGCTGAATTCTGCATTAATGCTCATTCCCCCCCCCCCAGCCTCCAAAAGGAGTGCTTACAATGATGTAGCGATAAATCCAAGGAGGACAGTCGCTGTAGGACTGCAGTGGTGCAGTCCGTCGCTGCAGAAGCTGGCTTCGAGCCTGCAAGCCAGCGCGCATCCGTGTGATTTCGAAGAGGCAAAGGTTTTGGGAACTTCTGTTGAAACTGATTTCTGGGCCACTTGGGAGCTGAGCCCCTGAAGCAGGTGAGGACAGTGCTACCGGATCTTCATCGGCCAGAGAAGCCTAGCGTGTTTTTACAGGAAGGGTTTCTTGTACCGGTCATGGCTACAGTGCTGCATCTCTTCTGTTGTCCCATGGATCCTATTCCACCTTTCCCTATAGTATCATTCTGCAGTGGGAACCAGGGCTTTTTCAAGGAAAATGTACAACAGCACAGAAGAAGAGCAGGAGGAGATTGGATTTATACCCTGCCCTTCCCTACCTGAAGGAGTCTCAGAGCGGCTTACAAACTCCTTTCCCTTCCCCTCCCCACAACAGAGACCCTGTGAGGTAAAAGAAGAAGAGGAGGAGATTGGATTTATACCCCACCCTTCACTCCCCAAAGGAGTCTCAGAGCGGCTTACAATCTCCTTTCCCTTCCCCTCCCCACCACAGACACCCTGGGAGGTAGGGGGGCTGAGAGAGCTCCGACAGAAACTGCTCTTTTTCAAGAACACCTCTGACAGAACTATGGCTTGCCCGAGGTCATCCAGCAGGTGCAAGTGGAGGAGCGGGGAATCAAACCCGGTTCTCCCAGATTAGAGTCCGTACACTTACACCACTACACAAAACTGGCTCTCAAGAAGAAGAGGAGGAGGAGATGGGATTTATTCCCCGCCCTTCACTACCCAAAGGAGTCTCAGAGTGGCTTACAAACTCCTTTCCCTTCCCACCCCCCACAACAGACACCCTGTGAGGGAGGTGGGGCTGAGAGAGCTCCGACAGAAACTGCTCTTTTTCAAGAACAGCCCTGACAGAACTATGGCTTGCCTGAGGTCATCCAGCAGGTGCAAGTGGAGGAGCAGGGAATCAAACCTGGTTCTCCCAGATTAGAGTCCGCACACTTAACCACTACACCAAACTGTATCTAGCCTGAAGCAACAGAACAACGTTGGTCTGAAGCAACAGAACAATGTTTGAGTATAGTAAGTCTGAATCTAGTGGCACCTTTCAGACCAACAAAGTTTGATTCTGGGTTATCAGCATTCATGTGCAGGCACACTTCCTCAGATAGATTCAGGTGGATAGCTGTGTTGGGCTGAAGCAACAGAACAAAGTTTGAGTCCAGTGGCACCTTCAAGACCAACAAAAGTTTAATTCTGGGTTTAAGATTTCCGTGTGCAGGCACACTTCCTCCGATAGAGTCAGATGGGAAGCCATGTTGGGCTGAAGCAACAGAGCAAAGTTGGAGTCCCGTGGCACCTCGAAGACCGACAAAGTTTGATTCTGGCACACGCACATGAAAGCTGACTTAAACTTTGTTGGTCTGAAAGGTGCCCCTAGACTCAAATTTTGTTCTGGCACAGTAGTCTAGTAATAGTAATAGTAATATACTTTATTGTCATTGTACACAGTACAACGAAACTAAGATGCAATCATTTCGGTGATCTACAACAATATTCATACACACTCACACAACCATTCACAACTCATAACTCCCTTAAGGTTCACATAGCACCTTAAAACCACTAATGTCACCCAAATTCCAATTCCATACAGCATTTAAGGCAGTAATAGCTCTCGAATAAAAACTATTTTTTAATCTGTTTGTCCTTGTTTTAATTGCCCTATATCTTCGGCCCAAAGGCAGCAGCTCAAACAGGGAAGGTCCAGGGTGTGACAAATCCTGCAGAATGTTCTTTGCTTTTTTCAAAGCATATATATGTGACTACAATTTGTGTGTGTCATCATGACAACACACCAGCGGACTTCCTCTTGTGCGCACGCACCGGCTTTGTTGCTTGGGTACTCTATGACTGCCAGGGAACGAGGACCAAATCTCTTCCTTGTTTTTTTTTTTTTTAATCTACTACTAGCAAGACCAGAAGAAACTACAGACGGTAATACAA